AATAATAATAATAATAATAATAATAATAATAACCTGATATTGTGCTCTTCGACAAGGGTACTCGTGACATTTATGTCATAGAGTTTTTGGCCCCGGCTGAATACAACATCTCAGCTAAAGAAGAGCACACAAGACAAATATATCAGGATCTCCTGTTTTAAATTGGCAAACTTTACCCAGGTTACCGTGTCAAGCTTGTCGTCTTGATTGTTGGCGTCCTTGGAGGGATGAAACAGTCTTTTGTATCCTCACTTGCCAGAGTTCCAGCTTGCTCATCAAAAGCTGAGTTCTTGGCAGTCAGGATGCAGAAGGCTGTGATACTAGGTTCCCTCCGTCTACTTAGAGAAATGACTTTGGCCTGCTGTGATCACTAACCGCCTTGTTGTGCGGAGTGGTCCAGCAGTAATGGATGGAGCTCAGGCTGGGCCCTCGGAGAGTCGGACTCCGGGGACAACCCCCCTGAGCATTTAATAACATAACAATAATAATAATAAAACATTTTTATGGCAGTATTTGATATTTAGGAACAATATAAAATTTACTTTCATGGTAAGGTTGGTGCACATCATACTATAGTTTATGACTTAATGAATCTATTTTCTTTACTAAACAAAAAGAGTTCACGTTTTGAACTTCATAAGCATGAAAATTATCGTTATAAGCAATTGTACACCACTGCTTACAAATGCAATAAGGATGATTTTCTAGTATAAATAATTTTATAATATTAAAGAAAATAGGATAATCATGATCATCGTAACCAGAAGTTATGAACGCACCAACTCGATATTTATGTATATATGTTAATTCATCAACTATATATTGTTACGTCCTGGGACGCCACAAATTTCTTCGACTGCTTGTTTGTACGGTCAGACAACTGAATGCCTTTACCCTGGGAGTGGCAGTCACACTTGTTGACAGATCTCTTTGATTTGGAACTTATTGATTAATTAACTCTACAAGGATGACCATCAGAACCGGTTGGAAAAAGGAAAAGAGGAGAAATGAAATATTTATTAAAAGAAATTAATAATTTACTTACGATTTAAATGTAGTAACAGGTGTTTTATTAAATATTGATACACACTGGATGTTGTTACGGAACACGTCTCTACTGTGTCGTTACGGTTAGAATTGATAAATTGTCGCTTTAATTTGGATTTTTAGTTGACCCTGAAGTTGTTGGCGCAGCTAACTCGACGTTGATGAAGATATTGTACGTAGATGGCTCTCTGGAGTGTATTGAGTCGATTGTCGACCTCAATGCTTGGGATGAACGACGATGGAACTCGATTTTATTTGAATACCGTTTTTGAATTTAAATTTATTTTAGAAAAACTTCGGATGTACTGACTTAAACCGAACTGAATTGAAAAGAGGTTTCTCGAATTTATTTAAAATAATTAATAATCGTACTGTTGGAAGAGAGGTTCCTCGTCGATTGAATATTTAGAAATTCTTCTGACTGGTGACTGTGCTGACCGGCAGAGGTTCAGCGTTAATTAAAAGTGTTCTGGAGTAACTGCCGATAATTGACTGCTGACGGGCTGACTATTACTGCCGACGGACGGACTGACGGACTGACTATTGCTATTACTACTACTACTACTGCTGACTGCCCGTGGCGCTTGCCTTTTTATACTAATGCGAATGGATGAACTAAGCGGTGGCGCGATACCTTTGAACTAGGGTGGTGGTCACCATCCCTTATTTTCTTAGAATTCCGTGACTGTGTTGGTCTTCGTAGGTGTAGATTTTTAATATTGTAAATCTGTTGGATATTCCTTATTTTCATGTGATCCTGATTCTATGTCTGAGAATATTATTACAAGGCATAGGCTTGATAGCTGTGCGTCATCCAGGTTTTTGGATTAGTGTTGAAGGCTTTCTGAGAATCCCGTTAGTGTATTTGGCTTGTATATGAGAGACCTTTAACACAATAGGTCTGTTGGACATAAACACGGTTAATACACATTGAATGACGAATATTCATTGGTCAACCCTTATAAGGGTATAAACTCGGTGTTTACGCTTCTTCTTCTCCTGGAGTCCTAATTCTCACGCGTGTGAATACCTGGCGACGAGACGCACCCCTAGGTTTGGAGTGAAGCGTCTGTGTGTTCTTTTCTATTCTTTTTAGTCACATAAATGTTGCTTCGTTCGGTGTCTATTCCTTTATTGGCACTCCTCAATCGATATCATGTCCTCTTCTTCTTTTATTTCATTATATCCTGATCCTTCTAGTCCAGTTGTCTTCCAGTAGAAATATTTTCTTATTACTTATTAAATTTACCAAAATTTCTAACCGTAACAATATACATTGGAGTCCATATTTATTTTTAGTTCTGATGCATTAAGTAAGTAATCCTCATAAACTTCTTTGTACATCACGAATTGGCCTTTACTAGATTTTAACTCAATTTTTAAGTCATTATTACAATAATACCATTCATGATACATAAAGCGTTGATGTTGTTCTGCTAGAGTCTTAGTTATATTCTTAAAATTTTTATATTTTCGAGTAAGGTCTATAAAGTACATATGCTTGGCTTCAAAGCGCATACTCCATAATGGTAACAAAGGACCAATTTTTTCAATGATGGACACATAATGTATAAGATTATGATCTTTAGGAATTAAATCAACTTCATATTCATTAAGTAATATCAAATGATGCTCTTGAATTAATAAGTCTAATTCAGATTTCATACCATGACTAATTACTGGCGAGAAAACAATATGCATAATTTGAAGTAATTTTTTAATTAATGCCCATTTTGGTTGCACTAATTCATCTTCAATATAATCACTTATTAAAAATGGCAAATATCTAACCAGACACCACATTTGAGAAGCTCGTTCTCCTAACAAACATCCGGGTTTATCTAAATTCATTGGACGAGGTTTATTAGTCATCTCATTTTTACCATAATTGAAAGCTATTAATCTATCATTAATTGTTTCAATAGTGATTCGAGTATTTCCCACCAGCCACTTAAGAAATAACTTGACATCTCGTGGAGCTACTCCTTCGAGTATATCATGCATTAAATCTACACCTGGACAATCAAAGATATTGAAATATTTTAATTCATTCAATTGGCATTCATATTTTACTCCAGATGGTAAAACTGCCTCGCCATTACAATCTTTATTAATTATACAGTTTCTCGAGGTTCTAATTAAGGACGGATCTTCGCATATCATTGTTTTTGTTTGAGTTTTGGTTGCAAAGCAAAATCTACAAAAATTAGTTGCAGAAAAAGATTGTACCATGCCATATATTGTATTTGCTCCTAAATTATCAAAACTCATAGCTGCTAATGAACCTTTAAAAATCTGACCTCCAATTTCAATTCCAGTTGTTTCTAATATTTTTATTTCATCAACAATCGGTTTTAAATACTTATTAAAACTGTCAATATCAGTATCGTTTTGTAAATCAACCGAATTAAATAGAGCGACTAAATGTATATGATTTAATTTGGAATTGAGATATAAGGGTAAGTTTTTCAAAGACATGTAAATAGCTCCAAATTTGTGCCCTTTCGTTTTGCTTCCCAAAGGGTTAACTGTCTCAAATTCATCAAAAAAAAGTTGAATCTTTAAAGAATCATCTGCTGCAAAAAGCGGATGATTTTATAATAGGACCCTTCAACATAATTTTCGTCATTTTTTAAATTTTTTATGATGAACATTTGATTATTTCGATGAAGATTGTTTAAAATAAATTCCACAATTTTTAATGGAGAAATAAATGAGAATTGGATTGGTACCAGAATTGGTCTATATATTTTAGCTTTACGATCAAACACTTGGTCAAAACGTGTACCAGTTGTTAATCTTTGAACTGGAAGAAAATTCGGAGATTTTAAATAATATGATTGTCGTCTATAAGTTGTTTTAAATTTTCTAATCAATAATTTTTCTTGCGAGAAATAGTTTTTCAAATTCGTAGAATCACCTTGAAAATCTTTTTCTACAATTTTTAGTACATTTTTTGATATATTCTCAACCATTACTTCTGTTTTTTCCATAATTTGATTTATTTTATTCTTCGGAATATTACTAGATTCAAGTGATTGGGCAAATATTTCTGTGTAAGAACTTGGCATTATATTTTGATCAGAAATTTTAACTTTTTTAAAGAGTGGAATCATATTATTGCTATGGTTTAAGAGTCTATTAGTTTGAATATTATTCAATTTACGCTTCAGCAAATGATTTTTTAAATGACTCTCTAAACCAGTAAAAGAGAAAAACTCTAAATTACAGAGGGGGACCATACATTTTAATCTTAAATTACGACCATTGGAAGTTGTATGATATGAGCGTAAATGCAGTAACGCGCTATTTAATGAGTTTAATACTCTTTCACAAACATAACACCGAAAAATCATTTTTATCAATAAGTATGAAGTATTAAACTATAGTCTTAAAAGTTAAATTTTTTACAATAACATTACTTTTGAGACATTTGAGTTAGCCAGGTCCGAACTTCTTTCATTCTTATATTGAATTTCATAGATCCGTCCAGTTTATAAAAATAATTCTGGATAAAATTAAAAAAGACTGTTAAAGTCTTTTCAAATACAATATTCAACACAAAATAACTCTTGAAAAGAGCATCAAAGGCTTCTGCGGATGTTACTTCATCCAAAAATAATAATTTACCATCAACAGCAATAAAATAAGAGTTGATATTTGATTTATCAACACCAACGGCAACAAGACATGGATGAGTCGTTTTTATATTAAAGTCTTGTCGAATGGTACCAGTCTGAAAAGTAAAAATATAGTTTTAATACCATTCATATTGAATTAAAGCAATGTAGTTACCTTGATGAATTTTATTAAATTATCTACAGGATTAGGTTCGCTTATTTTTTTTCGTCCTTTTGCGGTAGTAGGTAAAAGTTTTAGAAGAGTTAAATATGCTAACGTGGTGTTATCCCAATCTATCAGTACAAATATTTTTTACGTTGATTAATCACAGATTATCATTGTCATGATTATCTAATAATTAATTAAATCTAGAGTAAATTCCATCTTAAAACACATACCTATTTCTGAAGATTCTTTTTTCTTTATTGTCTTTAAATATTTTTCACTAACATTTAATATTAATTGGGGATTAAAATCAGTAATTTCAATGCCAGGATGGATCCAAGAAAATTCTAAAATAATCTGAAATGAGTTCAATATAATTATTCCAAAAATCAGAACTAAAATTTCAATTTTATGGTTATTTAATTAATTATTTTTGTACGTGGCTGGTTAATTTTATAAATGATTTAAATATTATTTTTATGACGTCTAAATTATTAACAGTTGTCAATTTAACTTACAAGACCAGGAGTATCAATGAATCGAGGAAATTCATCTAAAAGGTTATTAGTATTTTCTCTACGAAAGAGAAACGTATTCTTCATTGCATTTTCAATATTTTTCCGATCCTTAACCGGGTGAGCATTTTTTAAAAATGTGATTATTTCAGTCACATCTTCAATACTGACATCTTCTAATACGATAGACTGGGTTTCTTGATCCAGAAGTACAATATTTTCTTGTTCTTGAACCTGCTTATCTTTGTTGACTTTCCCTGATTCTTTACCTTTTTTCTGTGATTGATTTAAAGTTTTCAACCTCCACTCTATACGACCAGACCGCGTCTTACTATCATAATATACTTCCTATAAATTTTATATTATTAAGATACGAATTATAAACAGTGAAATTATGAAATATTTATTAAATCACTCACATAACCATAGGTCGATGTTTAATCTTTTAACTTTGGAAAAGTTTTTATTGTTTGTTCAGCATAATGTTTTTTTTCTGAAGAAGAAGGATGGTAGCCAAATTCTTCAGTTAAACAATCAACGACGATATTGACCAATTTTCGTCTACCTGTAGCATCAAGTCCACTTAAATGTTTGTATTCTTCAACGATATCATTACCACCAGGTTGTAACAAAATTCTATTTAATAGATCCTAAAGAGAAACAATAAAATCAATTTAATTAATAAGTTCATAGTATAATACCATTGTTTAATTTCATACACACAATATAAAACTTACTGTACTTTCTAAAACTCCAGAGTAATTATTAATTGCTTCTAATTGTTCATCATCATCATCATCATCATAATTATTGTTATTATTATTATTATCACCAATAGTTACATTTTCTGCGTCAATCGACGATTCATGATAATTTGATACATCGTTAATATTAATGATCTGGCTTCTATTGGTTGAGGTTAGAGCAGAACCTGAGTATAAAAATATCATTTAAAATAAACATTTTCAACTTCATTAATTGAGAATTATAGGTATAATTAACCGGATCTTAATCAGAATAAAAAATAAAAAAATAGTAAATAAAAGAATAACCTTGAAGAGGAATAACAGTAGAAGTAATAGGTAAAACAATTAATGTTTTGGGATGATAGAAAGGATAAATCACTTCACTTATTATGACTTTATCTTCATCAGCTATTTCAAAATCACCAACAATTTGGAACACTTTTTTAACTGTCAAAATATAAAATATTTAAGATCATTAAACTAGGAACGATGTTTATAAACAAAATATGAGATCGAAACAAAGATATGTCCGGTTGATAAATAGAAATCTTCCTTATCATCTTTCGATCGACTAATACATTTTCACTTTAATTTAAATTTGTATTTTTTAAAATAAAAGCAATTAATATTAATAACCATTAAAAAGCAATTACCCAGATAGCAATATGACGTCTTTTACAAAAAAATTTTTTAATATTTTTTATCGGAAAGTACATCTAAAAACAAAAATTTTGAAAAAAAAAAGGTACCTAAATGTTTAGTTTTGAAAAAGTTATGGCTATTTGAAAATAAAAAAGCCATTTTTTTGAAAAATTCATAACTTTTTTGGAGTTAGGTAAAAAAATTCAAAAAAATTCTGAGAACCGTTTTTTATAGGGTAGAAAAGGATGGAAAACTTTCGGCCAAATCGAAAAGGGTCGGGGTCAAAAGTGGTCGATTTGGCATGGAATACCCCATATGCTTATATATAATTAACATACATAAAAATTTTTTCTTTAAAAAAAAATTTTTTTTCGATAATCACAAAAAGTGTAAAATGATGTTTATAACCTGCATGGACAGATCTGATCAGACATGGACAGGCCTGCTCAGGCCTGAGCGTATTTAACACTTCAGACATGAACAGGCATGGAACAGGCATAATAATAAATAAAGTGAAAAAACAATATTATTATCCACATAGAGTGATTCAAATAGAATCTTTATTTTAAAGAAAAGAATCATATCGAGAGGTGTCGTTACTTGACAGAGTTTAGTCGCAGACTAACTATAATGTTAAAACTATTTTATTGTGAGGTCTAACCCTCTGTATTGTCCTCAGTAAAACACATGTTTTTCTTCTTAACTAAAACCGTAATATTCGGTTGTACTGTACAGTGTAAAATAGAGAGTCCTTTGTACAACTCAAGTACCTCAGGTCATAAAATCAAGCCTATACAGGCTTTCTTATTCTAGCTGCACAAATGTGCCTTAATTGTGTTTTTCACATTTAAAAACTACACGGAGAGAATTTTATGTTAACCCTAACAATACTTGTTTTGTAGATTTTACTATCTTAGATGGTTATTAATTTTACAAAAGTTGAAATGATAAATATAACAATTTAAATTATAATCAGTACAAGAATAAAATAATAATTCCTAAAATAGAGCGATCGTACCATTTACTATCGAGATGGTTACATTTACCATCACAAGTGGTTAAAGTTACCAATTGTATTATAAGTTTTTCAGTAAAAGTAAGCACTGAATTTATGATGATAAGTATTTAGACTGCATTCGAAAATGCTCTATTTCTAGATACATAATTAAGAAATGACCTTGTATCTGGTAAACTATTGACATTTTTTAATATATAAGCTCATTCCGATGTTACACTTATCAAGATCTTTCATTTAAGTACTCACATCATTTTTTCATATATTAATATATATTATATATATGTATATATAAAAATATATCAAAAATGCATGTGGGTACTCAAATGAAAGCTCTTGATGAGTATAACATCAGGATGAGCTTATATCACTAAAAATGTCAATAATTAAGAAATGACCTTGTATCTTGTGAATTATTGACATTTTTAAAGATATGAGCTCATCTCGGCATTACACTTATCGAGATCTTTCATTTGAGTACCCACATCAATTTTTCATATATTTCATATATTTATATATATTATATATATGTAAATATGAAAAATATATCAAAAATGCATGTGGGTACTCAAATGGAAGCTCTTGATAACATCAGTATAACATTGAGTATAACATCAGGATGAGCTTATATCATTGAAAATATCAATAATTAAGAAATAACCTTGTATTTTGTGAACTATTGTCATTTCTTAAGATATAAGCTCATCCCGATGTTACACTCATCAAGACCTTTCATTCAAGTACCCACATCATTTTTTTATATATTTATATATATTATATATATGTATATATGAAAAATATATCGAAATGTATGTGCGTAATCAGATGAAAGCTCTTGATGGGTAACATCGGGATGAGCTTTTTTTTTTTTTTTTTGGGCGAGAGGAGGGAAATCTTCATAAGACACCGGCTAGATGTTGGAGATGTTGGTTGCCGGTAGTGTGAGATTCTTACTCATTAAAACCCTCCCCTCTCTTGTACCTGATACTGCGGGACCGCGTTAACATTACTTCGCAGTACCAGGCCCCCTCCAAGCTACTCCTGTAGCTATTTTTCCTGTAGCTATTCCTCCTATATAGTCCTGTAACAGGACCCTCCGTTTTTGCGGCTGTGGCCGGCTTACAGTCTGTACCCGCATTTGCCTGTGCCCCGCTTATTTTAGGGGCACAATAACCAAGGAAAAATCACAGAAACCTGGTCAAGGTACAGTCGGCAAGGGAGCAAGCCCCGGAAATCGCAGAAGAAGATGAAGAAAAATTGCAATTGCCAGGGCTCGAACCCACGCTTGAGCGACTGCTGTGCGGCAATTTAAGACTTAAACCGCTCGGCCAAGCAGTCGCCTAACATCGGGATGAGCTTTTATCTTTAAAAACGTCAATAGTTAAAAAAGTACAGTGCAATTTAAAGAAAACTCATTATTTCATGAGGCAAAATTTTATTTATTTATAGTTCACAAGTTACGACAGTCACATAGTGACTGCAGGTTGCTAGTAATAATAATAATAATAATAATGTGGTGGTAGACATAAACTGAAAATTAAAATTAATTTTTTTTTATTCTAATTAATATTAGAAATGACTTTTATTTAATATAAATATCAATTTGATAAAATATAAACTCTGACGGTAATAATTATCATTAAAGATTGTAGAAATTATTAATTTGATGTTAAAAATTATTATCAAGATATTTAATCAAATTATCTTAGATAGTTGAAAATACAATCTTATAGTAATATAAAAGATGGTAAAAATTACTATATTGGTGGTAACTCTAATAATTTATATTGTATTTATAATAATAAAAGGTAGTATTCATTACTATCGAAGTATTTTAGAGCTTTTTACAATACTCAGATGATAGTATTTACCATAAAATTCTTTCCGTGTAATAAAAGAAAATACGTTATTTTTCTAAAATAAATATTTTTAAGAACTAAATATTTAAAATATAAAACTAAAACTTTGTAACTGGAATTTATTTTTGCTCAGAGAATCCAACAGACGTAAGTTTAATATCATGCGTTTACATCAGTGACAAGTCACGGTTGTACGTAATCTTGACGTAAGTTTAACATCATGCGTTTACGTCAGTGACAAATCACGGTTGTACGTATTCTTGACGTAAGTTTAACATCATGCGTTTACATCAGTGACAAGTCACGGTCGTACGTAATGCCGATACTATTTGTGAGTCATTATTTAACGTCAACAATTTTTTACAATTGTACATAATACTGACGTTATTTGAAAGTCATTTTCTAAATCAGTGACAGACGATTATTTTATTCTATAATAACGTAATTTAAACTTTGATAGTATATTCTATAATATTGATAAAATTTGGGGCATGTATTTTTTTAATATTACCGATTAATCAAAATTTATCAAGTATAAAACTTCTTTAACAAGATGTCTAGTTAATAATTAATCGCTAAATATTAGTGAAAATTGGTTTGAAATTTTGTAAGAATCAGGAAAAGGTGAACAGCTGATTTAGGCCAGTACCTTGCAAATTCAAGTCCGTTCTTAATAACAAAAATTTATAATTTCTTAATATTAATGAATATATCTAACATATTAGAAAATAACATACAAAACATCCTTCATTTTCGTTTTTAAGAAAAATACATATAAATTAAATACATGTGGGATATCAATTTTTTATATTTATGCTTGTATGTTTTCATACACTGCAGAAAAAAAATCTTGACTCAAAGGTAAATTTCTTTGGACCAAGAATATATTAAACGACTCCTCATTCAGCTGGGTATTGACATCAACGACCTAGAAGCAAATTCATGGACACCTCTCCATTACGCCGCGTGTTGTGATCGCCGTGAAATTTTGAAGCTGTTGATCGAAAACGGCGCAATCTTGGATGCAGTTTGTTCGGGTCCAGAAAAAGTGAGCCAAACTCCGTTGTACCAAGCGGCTCTGATGAACCACGTGGGCTGCGCAAAGACTCTTTTGCTCCACGGTGCAAAACTTTCATTGGGATCAGAAGGGATTTGTGAACCGTTGCAGATTGCCGTCTTCAAAGGCCACCTGGAAATGGTGGCTCTGCTTTTAGACCACGGTGCGAATGTCAACACCCGGTTCACCAATAACTTCTTCGAACTCTTCAAGTACGCGCTGCTTCCTGAGGTTTGGAAGGACCAAGATCTTCCATTGCTCCACTTTGCAATCCTGATGAAGTCCAAGAAAATGGCGGCATTCCTGTTCATCCGTGGAGCGGACGTTAATATGGAGACCAGGGGTGGCAATACGACTTTGTTGCAAGCCATCAAAGCCAACAACTTTGAAATGGCCAGGTATTTGGTGAAAAAAAGGCTGAAGGTTGATAATCCCTGGCGTTAGTGGAATTCTAATTTGTGATATTATTTTTATTTATTCATTTATTTAGAATACGCCAATCGGCAATATACATCTATGATATTAAAATTAAAAAAAAGATTATTTTAAGTAATTTTGAAATTATGTATAACAATATAATAAATTACATTTATATTTATTTTTCGATAATGTTCTATTTATTACTATATAACCTGTAATCCGTTGTTATATTTATTTTTTCACATTTATTGTAATGTATTTTAAAGGGCCGTGAGGAACTATGACTCTATGGCCTTGAAGCAATAAATAATAATATTAATATTAGAAGATTTTCAAAATTCATCATGAAAGTCATCTGGAATTCCAGATGAACTTCATGATGAATTTTAAACAAATCGCACATAAAACTTAATTTTTTTAATGTGTAAAAATATTTGGAGACAGTTATATTAGAGTTTTTAGTTTAACTTACGCTGACTCATTATTTAAGATTCTTAAACTTCTGTCTGGATAAATTGTTTGGAGTAGAAGAACACAATACGCAAAATAATATTTCGTAATTCATCATGAAAGTCAGCTGGAATTCCAGATGAATTTCATGATGAATTTGAAACAAATAGTATATGAAACAATTATTTTAATTTGTGAAATAATATTCGGAGACAGTTATATTGGAATTTTTATTTTTATTTACACTGACTCATCATTGACGATCCTCAAACTTCAATCTGGATAAATTTGTTGGAGTAGAAGAACACAAGATTCAGAATAATATTACGAAATTCATCATGAAAGTCAGCTGGAATTCATACAAATATATGAGTGATAGGTGTACACACGTACTGTATTGTGGCTCTGTCTATTTTCATAAAATTTCTTGATTAACTTTAAGTGTTAAATTTGTACTATCACCTCATTCCTAGTGTAACAACATGGGTTGTAATTTGTAATTGGTTGAATATCTGATAAATCTCAAAGTAATTTAATAAGTTCGATTTTATTAGTGGATAAACTTTGAAGGTTAGGCTGTGAAATTCTACTTGTTCACCCGCGCAGTATTCCACGCGCAATCTAGTGTTTACGCAGGCGTACATCGAGTCACATAAAATAGTGTATGTGTATGTGTAGTGTATAAACTCAATTTGAATTACGGGCACAGTGACTGGCATATGTGTGCTCAGGCACAGCTTATTACTATACAGCTTATTGCTATAGAAACTTTGTTTACTCTGAGCTGCGTCTGTTTATTACCTATACAAACTTTAAATACACTTAGTAATAGTATCATCTTATTATATCACTGATGTCGGACTTATGTATTGCTTGTAAAAAACCAACAAATACTCCAGCTGTTTGTCCTTCTTGTCAACGGATTTATCACTTAGACTGTTTGCGAAATTGTATGAAAATCAAGTCATTATATCACTGTTGTGCTACAAATCTCAAACATTTATTGACTACTGGTGAGATAAAGACTCGTAGCAAGTCAATCTTCGATAAACAAACAAAAAACCAAATAATTTCTCCAGCTAGTAATAAACCAGTCACCAACAATCAAGCAAATACACAAAAAACTTCATCAACAAGTCTAAAATCTCCTCTCACATTACATCTAGGAACCAATACCGCAAAGACCTCAACAACTAAAGGCAAAGATTCAGGATTGAAAAATAAGCATCTCACTAGAAGTTCATCTACATCTAGTACTAAATCTGTTACTTCACCGCTACAATCACCGATAACGCAGTCTACTCTATCAATCGCTCTCACTGATTCAAACATGTCCTTAGATTCAATAGTGTCTAAGGCAGCTCTCCAAAGTCTTCCAGAAAACTGGGAGACACAAAATACGGATGAAAAACTAACTTCGATGATGAACTTTTTTCTTACTTCTAATCATTTGATGACTGAGAAATTAGACTTGATCGATAAACGATTGGATTCACTGCAGCTAAATGTTTCTTCAAATACTGCCAGTATCTCGGAACTCAGAAAAGAATTAAATACACATAAGTCAAAAACAGCAGCTGATTCAAAGCTGTTTATTGATGAATTATCAAAGCTTAAGACACAGGCTATGCTACATCCAGATAGCTCACCATCTACAAGAACTTCTTCATCATCAGAATTAGTGATTTCGGGAATCCCAGATGTTGTAGCTGATAGCTTATCTCCATTTGATATCACCGAAACTGTCTTTAATACACTGAAGGTTCATAATTTAAAAAGTGATATTTTATCAATCCGCAAATTCGAAAATAATAATAAACCAAATAGTGCGAATGATAAGCCCCAGAATAAAAATTCTTCTTACTTAATAAAATTAAAATCTACTGAAGTTCGCGATTTCATAATTAGTGCCAAAAAACATTTAAAAACAGTAAATACAAAGGATGTTTTCCCAACTTTGGTTGAGAAAACATTCAGAGGTCTGATTCACGTTAATGAATTTCTAAATTCCGATACTTATAAATTACTTCTCAAGACTAAAGCTAAAGCAAAATCTCTAAATTACAAATATGTTTGGGTACGAAATGGTTTAATTTTTGTAAGGAAAACTGATGAAGTTGAACGTATTATTATCAAATCTGATTTAGATTTAGAAAATTTAGATTAACATAAAAAAGATTTAATAAATGTTACCAATGATAAATTTACGTCTCTAAGGGTATTAAGTTTTAATATAAATAGTATTGTTGGCCATATATCTCAATTAACTCAGCAAATTGTTGAAAGAAATCCTCATATCATTGTTTTAGTGGAAACCTGGCAAAAACCTAGCATTAATAATGATTTACTCACTTTTAACGATTATTCTTTATTTAGAAGAGACAGAAATCTGATACATCCAGCCACGGGTCATTATGTACAGGGTGGGGGTGTAGCTTGCTACATCCATAAAACAATTAAAGCTAAATTATTGTACTCTTCTGTCTCTGATGACATAAATTCACCTGAATATATAATGTTAGATGTTATGTTGACCTGTGGTTCGCATATGTTACTAGCTGGTGTCTACAGACGTCCAAATGGCCATACGCTGCATGAATTTTTCAATACCTTCATGAAATATTCAACAAATTTTACAAATGTAATTATAGCAGGAGACCTAAACTGTAACCTATTAGATAACACTTGGACAGCAAATCATCTAAAGACATTCATTTATGAATCATCCCTATATTGTATACCTTATAATACTACGCATCACAGTGGACATGGCAATTCATGGCTGGATGTAATCCTAGTAGACAATATTAGGAAATTAGGTACCTTTCATAAGTCAACATCTCCCTTTATAGCAGGTCATGACTATCTGTATTGTGAATATCATCTAAACTGTCCTAAACTACCAGATAAATTTATAACTTTTAGAAATTACAAAAATTGTGATCATGATGCTTTAGCAAATGCCTTAGTTATTGCCTTAAAACTTGATGATATCATTATAAAAAATTCTGATCCAAACAAATTGCTTGATCTATTTTTAAGTCGAGTTTTAGAGATATTAAACAAATATGCCCCTGAAATTACCATTAAAGTGACTGGAAATTCAAACTCCTGGATTACCAAAGAACTTAAATATAAATGTCATGAGCGTGATTCTCTCTATAAGAGAGCAAAAAGAACTAAAAATCAAGATTTACTTGCTCTTTATAAGGATATGAGAAAGAAACTAAAATTAGAATTGAATAATGCTCGTGAAAACTACTTAAAAAGTCAACTAACTACTGTATCACCTGGTAAAACAATTTGGAATAAACTCAAACGCCTAGGATTAATAAAGACAAAACAAACTTCACCCCTGAACTACTTTGATGCGAGTCTTTTAAATGAGCACTATGCTAATATAGTAAGGAAACATCCACCTTGTGATATTAACTTTGTAAATTCATTATCTTCCCTATATCACAAAAAAGTTGAATGCTCCTTTAAATGGCACCAAATAGATATTGTTGATGTAACAAAAGCTCTACATCTAACATTTCAAAAGACAAAAGGGAAAAGTCCTGATGGCTTAAATCTGAGTTGGTTACGTGATCATATACCGCAAATATGTCTATTCTTAACTTCTCTGTTTAATCGTTCACTTGAGTCAGGTATCTTCCCAGATATTTGGAAAATGGTTTTTATTATACCGCTAAGCAAAGTTAGTCCACCAAAGTCTCCGTCTGATACGCGTCCAATTGCAAATTTATCGCACTTAAGCAAAGTATTCGAACGTATTATAGCAAATCAAGTAGTTGAATACTTAGAAGAAAATAATCTGCTTGACAAATATCAATCTGGATTCAGAAAGTTCCATAGTACTCACTCAGCCCTTCTTAAGCTCACTGAGGATATCAGATGTGCAATAGATAGAGGTGAATTAACTCTGCTGGTATTATTTGACCTTAGCAAGGCTTTTGATTATGTCAACCCGAAGGTGATATTAGTAGCGTTATTTGAACTAGGTTTTTCGATTGAAACTGTGACTTGGTTTCTCTCTTACTTGTCAAATCGCTCACAATCAATATTAAACAATCAAAACCACCCATTAGAGTTTCTTGATATAACATCGGGCGTACCCCAAGGTTCAGTCCTAGGGCCTATATTGTTTTTAATAGTTATAAATCTGGTAGTACGACAAATTACTCACTGTAAATATGGTCTGTTTGCCGACGACAAATATATATATTATCACTTTAAACCTACTTCAGTAATCGAAGCAATTAGATTAGTAACAATTGATGCACAGGGGATTGCTGATTGGGCTAAAGATCATGGATTACAGGTAAACTTAAATAAAACAAAATCTTTGATAATAGGGTCAAACAGTAAACTAAAATCATTAAACATTGACTCGCTACCACCCATTATTATCAACAATGTTCCTTTACCGTATGTAAGCCAAACAAAATGTCTGGGCTTATCGTTAAACAATGATCTCTTATGGAAAAATTATGTTTCACAAACTGTTAGAAAAGTAAATGCTGTTCTCTATACATTAAAAAGTCGGAAAAATATTTATACTACTGCTATCAGAAAACTTCTAGTCACTGCAACTATTCTTCCTCTTATTGATTATTGTACTGTAGTGCTTATTGATGCCACAGCTGACAATAATCTAAAATTACAGCGAGCATTAAATAGTTCAATACGATTTATTTATAATCTAAAGAGAGATGAACATATTACTCCATACAGACGTAAATTAAATTGGTTATCTGTGAAGTCAAGACGTCTATATTATTTAATCACTTATTATTATAAACTATTGCAAACAGGAAAACCTAGTTACCTTAGGGAATTATTTGTTGAAGATGAAGCTAGACGTTCTGAAAGATTAGCTATAAAAACAAATAATGTAAATTTTGAATTGCCAAATTTTTCTACAAATTATCTTGAAAATTCATTTGTAGTAACTACAATACGTTTGTGGCAAAATTTACCTGCAGAAATTGCGAATGCAAGCAGTCTAGAAGTGTTTAAAACAAAGATCTATGACTATTTCTTGGAACTTGACTTTCAGTAAATTACCTTCACGTTGGCTTCTGTATATATTCAAATACTCTTACAAACTATTGTTACTTACTAGTCAAAGCAACTACCATTATATTGTTAAATACGTGGATTAGAATAAATATTACATTGTTACTTATTAAATCAAATTTAATCTAAAATTAAAACTAAAGTTAAATCTAAAATAAAATTATAATTGTTATTTTATAAATAAGATTTTGATGTACACCTACACCTAAGTTTATTACTTTGTATTAAATTTTAAGTAAAAATTTATAAAACTATGTACAAACCTTTGCCATTCGGCTAATTGCCTTGGCATATTAAATAAATACATACATACATACATACATACATTTCTCTATTCTAATTCCCCAATAACAATAATAATAATAATAATAACGCTTGAATTACAATTTAAAAATAATTTCAAAATATTATTTTCCTAATTAATATTTCTAAAAATTCCGGTTTATCATTTTCCGAATTTCAAAATACAAATAACAAATTCCTATTATCTAAAT